AAAAAAAAAAAAAAACACAAAACAAAAAACAAAAACCAAAAAAAACCAAAACCAAAACAAAATCAAATTATATGTAGAATTCACTACTTTTCATCACCTCCACCACTATCACTTGGTTCAAGGTGTCATTTTACCCTCTTGAGGTTATTGCCAAACCTTAGCTGTCTCCCACTTGCCACTCTTGTCTTCTAGCAAGCAATCTATTCTCAGCACAGCATTTAGACAATTCCTTTTGAAATGTCAGCTCATGCCAGTGCTCTATTCAGACTCTTGCACTGACTTCTCATCTCACTTAGAATAAAAGCAAGAGTGAAGAACATGGCCAGGTTGGCCTTATGCAGACTGTCTTTAGGGTGGTGGTATAAAGTAGGGATTATACCTCAGTTAGTGCTCATAGCTCAGTTTTTCTTGCATAGCCTCTCACCCATGAAATACAGATATTTTTGATACTGTGTTCAAGGTTGATATTTGGACAGTACATTTTTATAGTCATTGTCATGCAGTAATTTAATTTTTATCTCTAGTGGCCTGTTTTTACCTGTGGCCTTCACAGTTGTCGTTAATTTTTAGCTGTTTAAAAACATGTTCCAGCTCTAGGTAGAATATATTAATTCTAGAAACACTTACGAGTGTATATTACGCACCAGAGACTAGGGTTACAAAAACAAACAGAAGGGGCCGGGGATTTAGCTCAGCGGTGCTGCCGCCTGCCTCGCAAGCACCAGGACCCAAGTTTGATCCCCAGTACTGGAAAAACAAACAAACAAAAAAACCCAAAAATCCAAAAACTGGAAGGAGGTACAGGTCAGCAACCTTCATCATTGTGAGCAAGTGATTTTTTAGGCCCATAAAGATGGCATATTCTCCTTTAGACAGAGCCAACGGACAACTTGTATATCGAGTAAATAACTCCAAAGGGATGCATCAGTATTTCTCTTTTGATTTTTCTCCTGTCTCCCCTTTATTTATTTTTTACTTTTTTCAAGTAACAAAAGGGTCTCCTTATCCCCGATCAAGCATTTGCTAGCTCCACCAGCCTTGGCTAGACTTAAGCTTCTGCATTCCCCGCATTTTTTGACTTTAAACAATTGTTCTCTTTTTCACATACAAAAAGTTCTCATTTGTATGCTGACTTCATTTCGTTTGCATGTATACCAAGGAGTGGGATAGCTTGATCATTCAGCAGTCATTTATTTATTTATTTAGCAGTACTGGGGATCGAACCCTGGGCCTTCCAACTCAGCTCCATCCCCAGACCTTTTTTTGATTTTTGAAATTTAAAGACAGGGTCTTGCTAAGTCACTAAACTGCTCCGTCTGACTTCAGACTTGTAGTCCTCCTGCTCAGTATCCCAAGGTGCTGAGACTACAGGTGTGTACCATCACACTCAACTTCCTTTTACTTTTTTAAAATTTTGTAATTTATAATTTTTAGTGAGTTCTCTTCTTTTACTTTTTTGCAGAAACTCTGTCCTGCTTCCCATAAAGGCTGTACAAAGTGGCGTTCCTATCAATGCTGTGTAAGAGTTCTTTTTGCTAAGCATGGCCCTGAAATCTCTGAGTGCTTCTTAACATAATATCTGCTTTATCTGTTTATTTCTATAGCCCTACAATTATAATTACAAGATAGTATATCAAGGAGGGATGAGATGAAAGATGAAAAATAAAGCCATTTATTGACAGAAAGTTTTTTTTCCCCCTTTCTATCCACAAGCAAAAGAAAACAGAAATATTTAATTTGGGGTAGTATATTGTGTCTCAGTGAGTGTTGGGGACATTTAGGAACCGAAGTATTTTAAACCATAAAGACTTTAAATGAAGCTTGCTAGGATATGCTTAAATTGGAAATTTTACAATGATCGTTTCATGTAACAATTGTCTTCCTTACCCTTCCTTTTAAAAATCTTTATTAGCTATAAGCATCCAGATGAAAACCACCTAAGGTGTAATGGACCCCTATGGAACTTCCTGGAGAACATAAAGAGAAGGAAAATGTGACCTACATTTATTCTGTGGGATTTGAGGTAAGTGTTCCATGCCATCATCTCAATTCCCCCCCCCACATCAAGTATAAGGATCAGATACTTAATAGCAAAGCCTAAGTGCTCTCCAAATTAAAGTCGTAGGGCTGCAGGTGTAGCTCAGTGACACAGCACTTGCCTAGCGAGTACGAGGCCTTTGGGTTCCATCCCTGGCACCACAGCAAACAAAATAACAAAAAAAGTTGTGTAACATAGTTAAAGGTCCAGAAAGCAGGTACATTCTTTACGTTAAAACAGTTCAGGGGAGGGGCCGGGGATTTAGCTCAGTGGTTCTGCCGCCTGCCTCGCAAGCACAAGGACCGGAGTTCGATCCCCGGTACCAAAAAAAAAAAAAAAAAAAAAAAAAAAAAAACACCAAAAAAAAAAAAAAATAAAAAAA